CAGAGCGTCGTATCCCAGAACACATTAAGAATTTTGTTCCAAATTTCCCGTCGATTTCTAGGTAACTTTAAATAATTTCTTTATGTCCTGGGGCATGCGGCAGCGTAGTTGGTTGAGGCACTATGCCACAAGCCGGAAGATCGCGGGTTCAAGTCCCGATGAGGTGGATTTTTTCAGTTGACCTAATCCAGCCGCAATATGGCCCTCGGTTGTCGACTCAGCCTCTAACAGAAATGAGTACCAAGAATCTTCCTGGGGGGTAAAGGGCGGCCGGCGCATAAGGCTGACAACCTCACCGCCATCTGTGAGCCGATTGTCTAGATAATGTGGAAGCCTCAACGTCTCACAAGCCTATGGATCTTCATGGCCTGCTACAGGGATAGCTGTACCTTTTTTACCTTCTGTATGTCCTAGGTCGGTCTAGAAAACCGAAATTGGCGGCCGTGGGGATTCGTTGCGCTGACCACGCGACACCACCTATCCGCTAAAGTTGGCACTGGCTTCGCCGACAAGCGGCGGTCGCTCAGTCGGTCGGTATAGTTCGCTTGCGGACTAAAATCACGGAGTTAATTAGTTAGTTAGTTTGTTAGTTAGTTATGTCCTAAGTTCGACATTAAATGCATCCTTAATCCTGTCGTTTCATTCATATGACAAAACTGGATGGCACCGTTTCTTATACGGCCATATTATCTCAGAAAAGTCGTATTTGGAGAGGGGGAAGAATACGAATTTAAGCCGCCATTTTCCATTGAAATTTATGGTAACATTAAAGTTTTTTCTTATTGCTAGCGGGGTGGGACTAAGTCCCTTGTACTGCGGCCACTTCTGGACTATTGAAAAAAAAAAAAGTAAAGCTATCCCTGTAACAGGCCGTGAAGGCCCATAAGGTTGTGAGAACCAGCCCCAAACGATAGGTGAGGGTGATTGTGGAGCAATTGGTGGAATGAAGATTGGCAGGGGAAACGGAAGTACTCGGAGAAAACCTACCCCAGCACCACTTTGTCCGCCACAAATCCCACTTGACCAGACCTGGGATCGAACCCGGGCCGCCGCGGTGTGAAGCCAGCGACTAACCGCTTGAGCTATGGCGCGGCCTCAACATTAAAGTAACTAATTCTTCTGAAAAAAAAAATATAGTTAGAAATGAAACGATGGGTGTTTATAGGATCAAAATATGAATGAAATATGACATGTATAGATAACATATAAAACTGTGTTTATAAACTGTGGTTTTATTTGGTTCATTTTCCAAAACATACCTCTCCAGGAAATGAAACTCATAAACACTCCAGTATTACGACTATCGATTTCAGCGAACTAAATTTAATTATATGGCAACAATGGATGATTTTCTTTCTTACTGTTCACACTACCAGACCGCCTCTGTGGTCTAGTGGTCAGAGTTCGGGCTACAGATCCAGAGGCCCCGGGTTCGATTCCCAGCGCTACCAAATTTTCTGAGAAGTAGTGGATCTGGAACGGGGTCCACTCAGCCTCGTGAGGATACCTGAGGAGCCATTTCAAGGAAGTAGCGGCTCCGGTCTAGAAAACCGAAATTAACGGTCGTGGGGATTCGTTACGCTGACCACACGACACCCTCTATCCGCTAAAGTTGGCACTAACTTCGCCGACAAGCGGCGGTCCCTCGGTCGGCGTAGTTGGCTTGCAGACTACAGGATACGGTGTTTGTTTTTGTTCAGACTACTAAAATCAGCGTGTTTTAGGCCAAAAGCCAGTCAAGATGTGTAAAGAGGGCAGCTTCAGAATTCTCTCGCATGAATGCATGAAGGTCAAGAAAATAGACATCCCACGGTAAAAGGTAAGGTTGTCCTTCTGCTCAACGAATTAAGTACAATGCCATGAAGGCGTATGGGGGCGTGGATGTATAGATCCACGTTTTTTTTACATCAGCACTAGCTGGAGGTGAGTGGTTAGCTTCATGCCCCTGCCGGTTTACCCTCGGGGAAAGAGCCCCCGTACTCATTGGATAGAGAGCCGGTCTGGACGACGTGGAGAAGAGAAAATTCTTGACCCTACCGGGACTCGAACTCCGACTCCTCAGTCGTCCAGCCCGTGGCCACTCGCTATACCGACTACGCTACCCCGGCTTCTAAAGAGACGTCCGACTGACAGCTTAACTTTGATGTTGGTTCTGCAACTTCTCCCGAATCCAGTTTTCATATAATAGTTATCAATGCAACATTATCGGTTTCGGAATCTTTTGACTTTCGTGAGTTTTGATATCGTCATAGGCCAAAATGAGGAGCTGCATAATTTGTACTCTTCTCCAAGTATAATTAGAATGATCAAGTCAAGGAGGATGATGTTGGCAGGGCATGTAGCACGAAGGGGGGAGAAGAATGTAGGATATTGGTGGGAGAGCCAGAAAAAATAGACCACTGGGAAGACCAAGACGTAGGTGGGTGGACAATATTAAAATGGATCTTAGAGAAATAGGATGGGATGGTACGGATTGGATAGATCTGGCTCAGAATATGGTCCAGTGAAGGGCTATTGTGAACACGGTAAAGAACCTTCGGGTTCCATAAAATGCTGGGAAATTCTTCAGTAGCTGCACAAGGGCTCAGCTCCATTAGTGAGTAAGTAAGTAAGTTAGTAAGTAATAGGCCAAGAAACGTGAACAAGAGAAATGAGTGAAGTTATATGTAGTACATTACTATCCATATAGTATATAACAGGTGCATTAATTACCTTCCTACTCCCCGTTGATTTAAATGGGTTTATTTTTTGCTTCTTCGCGCTAATCAGTCAAAACGTCCGTAGACATGGCAGAGGAACTTTCAAATTAAGCAGCGCTCTTCGTTCTTTCGTTATTTAACAGTCCTGTATTTCTGAAGAGGTTATTAAACATCGAATATCATTAGTTTGTTATTTATTTAGTTCGGACCAGGATAATAATCAGTGAGGGGCTCTTGTGAACACGGTAATGCTTTTTCGGTTTTAATAAAACGAGGATGATTTCTTGAATGGTGAGCAAGTATCAGCTTCTGAAAATGTGTTCTCTTTCTTGAAGTTGATTGTTAGACAAAGAGAATGTGAATTTCTGAAGTGCAAATGGGGGAGAAGAGGAATGCATATAGGATATTGATGGGAAAGCCAGAAGGAAAGAGACCACTGGGAAGACCAAGACGTAGGTGGGTGGACGATATTAAAACTGATCTTAGAGAGAGAGAGAGGATAGGTAGGATTGGATTGATCTGGCTCAGGATAGGGACCGGTGGAGTGCTCTTGTGAACACGGTAATGAACCTTCGAGTTCCATAAAATGCTGGGAAGTTCTTGAGTAGCTGCTTCTCAAGAAGGGCTCAGCTCTGTGAGAGAGAGAGTGAATTTCTAGTCCAGAAGGCACAGATATTTTGAAAGGCGATAGGAGAGACATTTTTGCAAAATTGTCAAGTACTAAATGAACTCAAACCAGAAAGGGCAGTTCTAATCGAGATATCTGGAACATGGACTAAAAATGATTACAAATTTCATTTATTTTCGGTTTTAATTTGAAATTAAAAGACAATTTATCGACTGCTTCTATTTCGAGATACTTTCTCACTCATGGAGCTGAGCCCTTCTTGAGAAGCCGCCAATTGTGCAGCTGCTCAAGAACTTCCAAGCATTTTATGGCGCCCAAAGGTTCATTACCGTGTTCACATGAGCCCTCCACCCGTCCCTATCCTGAGCCAGATCAATCCAATCCATACCATGCCATCCTATCTCTCTAAGATCCATTTTAATATTGTCCACCTACCTACGCCTTGGTCTTCCCAGTGGTCTCCTTCCTTCCGGCTTTCCCACCAATATCCTATATGCATTCCTCTTCTCCCCTATTCGTGCTACATGCCCTGCCCATTTCATTCTCCTTGACTTGATCATTCTAATTTTGCTTGGCGAAGAGTACAAGTTATGCTCCTCATTATGCAGTTTTCTCCAACCTCCTGTCACTTCATCTCTCTTTGGTCCAAATATTCTCCTCAACACCCTGTTCTCAAACACCGTAAGTCTATGTTCCTTCCTTAATGTCAGAGACCAAGTTTCACACCCATACAGAACCACAGGCAAACCCCGAGATACTTTATTTTGGAAAAAAGAGAACGTGGATGTATTCCACTTTTCCTGTATGAGACATGGCGTTGTTTAGAGAGAAACGCTGAGAATTGAGCAACAGTAAACGCAATACAGGTCAGGTTAGTTTTACATTCATTCAAATGCTAATTCTGTGTCGGAGTGGCTTTAAACGAATACTGGAAAATAAAATATGGACCATTTCGAATACTAAGAAGACAAGCTGCTTCGGCACACCGCAATTATGTACGTGTTACATATTTTATTGCCCCGGCATTAATGTGACTGCAGAACATCGTGAATTTAACCTAAGACTCTCTTGTTTAGATCTCTCTTTAGACATACTATTCACACCTATCGTGGAGAAATGGAGATTACCGTAAACTAGAATGTTGCCTGTTCTAGAGGTAATCTTTCCATCACGTACTTGCAATGTGCTCCTCGTACGGATGTCACGAGACCCAGAAAAAGAGCGACCTCTGTTAACAACTCTGGACCGGTTTTTCGCTAGCAGCTAGCAAGCTAGACAATAGACATTCTGTTAAGAGTCACTTGCCAATCCTCCTTTCATGTCTTAGAAATTTCACACAAACGAACCCCTGGAGCATAGGTGGGTGGGGGAGGGGTCACAAGTGACCACTTACCTCGTTCCCCCCCTCCCAACTAAATATCGTGTGATGGGGTCCTTGTGAAGATGTTGAGTAGTTGTGAAGCTGTGCTTGTTCCAACCCATAACGCAGGAGAGCTCGGCAGACTTCAAAGGGATGTGACTCAGAGAGAGAAAGAGAGAGAGAGGGTCCTATAATAGACGATGGGGAAGAAGAAGAAGTATTTGGAGTGCGGGGTGAGAGGGGAAGTCTTGTTTCTCTCTTTCTCTCATACGCACAGCGCCACTCGTCATAGGAAGTGCGTGCTATACGGCAGAAAAATCCGTCGCGGGTGCGTGTGTGCGTTTTTGTTTTACAAACTTACGTACGTATAAACATCTTTTTTTTTATTTACTATGAGATTGTACGAGCGGCATGAAAACGTGTCAGAAAACAATCCGTTTTATAATGTGCCAATGTATACATGCGAATTGAATGCGCAGTATTAAAATATACTGGTACTGAGAAATACGAAAAGTATATAAAATTGAAGTGTATATCAGTGAATTGTACAGCAAAGTTAAAGTGAAATTTATGTAATTACGTTACACAATTCACACAGTATTAAAAAAAAATCGTTCCCTGAATATCTTAATATAGAAATAACAATATAAATTAAAATTGTACCTAGATTACAAAGTTGCAGAAATAAAAAAAAAAAGTCTAAAAAAAAATGTTGAATTTAACGGTTGAAAACGACGTAACATGAGATAAAATTTCTATGACGATTTATATAGATGTACATCCCGATGACAGCAGATAACAGGGAAATGAACTCACACAACTGTTTTCTTTATAAACACATCATACAAGTTAAGAACTTATTTATGGGGCAGTCACTGTAAAACTGGGCCACTTTATGATCCAACAAACATCCATGTCCCGTCAAGTGTTTTTTAATTGCGAATTCCACTTGCACTCGGCACCGGTAGCAAAGCCGTTCATGTGTAAGAACTTCGAACAACAATACGATGCTACGAGAAGAATCCAACATGCCGTGGGCAATATCTGGACTGTTCAATCTATTCCGAAGGCTCGGACCAGTCCTGTTCACAACTGGATTGTTGTTAGTGACGTGTTATGGACATGACGTCAATATTACAGTGACGTCATCACCGCAAAGTATTATCTCTAGAACGAATCCTACAGGATTTGATGCAATCAACGAAGGAAAGCTACTACAGGTAGGTGACACCTTGGTTATCAGCTTCTTACATAGATAAATTATCATACGCCCACGGAGTTTCATTAGGAATCAATGACTGAATTGTAAACCGTATATAGGGTCTTTTACGAGAATATTCAGATATGACTTCGAAGTCAAAATTTCATCTACCTCCGTTCATTTTGGAATTATTGTGTGATTTTAACCAATTTTGAGTAACTACTGTAATAAGTACGAAGTGGCTGCAAAATATTAACCTCTTGTTGATCCAGCATCTTTAAAAACCATAATTCATAATACAGCATAGAAATTACGAAACAAAATTATGCAAGTAATAAATTCTCGAATTATGAATTACAGTATTGCATAATGAAAAATAAAAGTATACTGCAGCATTTTACATTATAGCCTTATCCCTGGTTTTCTCCTGTTCTAAAAAAAGATTCTGATATACAAGAAATAGCACCGGTACAAATATTAACCAAGTCTATTTCGTACTGATCAAGGAGCCACCTTTCTATTCATCCGGGATCGCCAGAAATATCTTCGGGGGCACTTTGGTGTTTTTGGAAGTGCCTTGGAGTGCCTGAAATAAATTTAAAATATCCATAATAGTGACTTAATAGTTCTCAGATGATAACAAAAAAAAAAGGTTGATAATTTGCGCTGCACGAGTATGCACTGAATTTCTGTCCTGCGCTGAGAGATGTTCCCAGTATGCAGATTGTGTCCAGGTGTAACTGAAGGGGTCGGTTTACATTATAGTGAAATTTTCTAAGAAAATTAATTTTTATGCTGTTCGAGGGTTCTCACACAGGTGACTATTTTCTGAGATTTAACGCCATGTAGTCAGGTAGAAATCCACCGACGTTTCGGAGTAACGTACTCCCTCCCTTGCCGTCTACTTCTTGCTGGTTTGTTGCTTGATTTAGTCTTCGACCGTGAAGATGGAGGCAGTATGTTCATCCGAAACGTTTCTGGATTTCTATCGGAATACATGACGTTTCATCCCAGAAGAGAGTACTTATAAAGATAAGTTATTATTTGTTAGTTTTTTGAAGGGCTGAGTTAATGCGACGGTTCGGAATATTTCTCGATTATTCATATGATAAAGATAAAAAAGGGTAACGTTGTCCCTATGCTTAATTAATTAAGCACTTTGCCATGAAGACTTATAAGGGAGTGGAGGTATAGCTCCACCGTTATTGACCTTGGCACTAGATGGAGGTGAATGGTAAGCTTCACGCCGCGGCCGGTTTATCCCCGGGGAAAGAGCCGCCGGTACCCATTGGACTGGGTGGGCCCCAGAGTAGGTCAGGACGCTGTGGAAAAGAGAAAAATCTTGATCTTGACGGGAGTCGAACCCCGGCTGTCCATATGATGCCCATTATCGACAGAAGGTTGGCAACCCATATCTACATTATCGAAACGTTAAAAATCATGATAAAACTCGCGGACCGCCCTGTTGTTCTCAAGCAGATTGCTATGTTTACGTTCTCTTTGTTCGAGGCGGCATAGCTACGTCGGTATAGTGACTGGGTTACGGATTTAATGACCAAGGAACCGGGCTTAGATTCCCGGTTGGAGCAAAAGACTTTTTTACTCTTATTAGCGTTCAGAACGGCTGTGGGTCTCAGCCAGTCACCTGTAAAATGGTCAGCCTTTTCGTAGCCATAAAACGGCCGGGGCGTGAAGCTGACCATTTAGCTCCATCTAAATCTGAGGTTAAGAATGGCGGAGCTATAACTCTACCCCACATACGTCTTCATGACGTGGTACCTAATTACGCACATGGATAAATTTACCTTTCCTATAGCTTTGCCAGTGCAGCGGCAGTCTTTTCATACTATCACATGACCTAGCCAATGCATAAAACGATCCAAGGACATTGCACGCTTTTTCATATATGCGTAACGAACAGAAGAGGTCTCTTCGCTTGCGGATATCTTATATTTTTCCTTCTACCCTGAAGATGGAGGCGATACGTTCCTCCGAAACGTCGGTTAACACCACATATACACGGTGCCAAATCCCAGAAGACTACTTTCTTCATAGTCACCGCCGTGAAAACCTCAAATCTTACATAGAATCTTTCTGGTTCTGGAGAAAACTGGTTTTTCGCGTTTGTGTCGCCGAAGTAGTGCCGTTATTTTTGTGAAGATATCGCCAATGCATATTCATTTAGGGAGACAGTCTTCATAAATTACTTAACCTTAATCAGAATTACTATATCCATCATCGAGAAAGTCACAATTTAATGCCTGGAAGCCCCTGTGAACGGCGCTCCTTTTTGAAGCTAGAATGTTCACGTTCCCCGAACACCGACTTGTAATGGCTGAACTCTTAAATAACAATTATTAATAAAATCCATAGAACAATTCAGACTCTAGTGAAGTGCATATACAGACAGACTGAATTACAAAAAGAAAACATTTTCTTTTTGTATTCGGGGGGGGGGGGGGCTGAAAACATGTAAATCCGTAAAAATCTCGAGATGTATTACTTTCGCCATCACAATACTTCTTCGTACATACATTATTACATTATTATTTTATTTTATGTATTTAATTCCTCTCCAGGTATAATTAGAATGATCAATTGAAGAAGGATGAGGTGGGCAGGGCATGTAGCACGAATGGGGGAGAAGAGGAATGCTTATAGGATATTGGTGGGAAAGCCAGAATGAAAATGACCACTGGGAAGACCAAGGCGTAGGTGGGTGGACAATATTAAAATGGATCTTAGAGAGATAGGATGGCATGGCATGGATTGGATTATTCTGGTTCAGGTTAGGGACCAGTGGAGGGGTCTTGTGAACACGGTAATGAACCTTCGGGTTCCATAAAATGCTGGGGAATTCTTGAGTAGCTGCAGAATTGGCGGTTCCTCCAGAAGGGCTCAGCTCCATGAGTCAGTGAGTGAGTGACTTTGAGTTATTTAATACCTGTTGCTCCATCTGGGGCATAGGGGATTCGTGAAACGCCGTTTCACTTCAGTTTCTTAATCTTATACACAGACGGTAGGATTCCTTGTAATGGGGATCAGGCCGTCGCAAAGTCGCTACATACACAGGACAACACAAGGAATAAAAGGAAACAGTCATCCATTTCTGGAGCGGGATTCGAAAGCAAGATCCCAGCGTTTGAGCGGAAGAAGACATTTCATGCCTTCAACAGCGTGGCCCTGTGATCGGCCATACTGTGTACAAGAGTAAATAAAAAGAAGGCCGTTTTTTAACTTCCATAATACTGAAATACTCATAAAATACTATAACGTAAACCATTTACGTAATAGTAGCTCGTAAATGACGTCATACAAGGAATATAATTATGTTACGCAACTAACTTCGCCGACAAGCGGCGGTCGCTCGGTCGGTATAGTTCGCTTGCGGACTAAAACCACGGAGTTTGTCTTACCCAAACATGTTTCATGAGAAATACATAATCCTTAAGAATTTTAGACAGAAACCTGAATGGAAGCGACTTGATCATAAATTAGAGGATAATATTAAAATGTATGTCGAAGAAACAAAATGGAATAGTAAAACAGATTGATCTGCCTCAGGAACGATCCCGTTAGTGAACTTTAGGAACCAAAAGAGTGGATGTTACTTTTTCAAGAACAAGATTTATCTCTCAATAAAAAATAACGATATTATTATTGAAAATGTACAGTATAATCCTTCGGAATTCTAAAAATTCGCCGCGTCAATGGCGTCATCTTTAGAGGAATTCAGAAGGAATGACTTGGGAAAAGATTTAACACTGACAGTTGAGTACGTCTCAAATGACTGAAAGAAAAATCTAATTTTCTACACCTTGGGTACTTAACTTTAGTAGACATTCGTAGAAAACACACAATTTACTCGAATTTAAAAATTATTCTAACGTAAATACATAAAGAAAACTGGTTTCCTTTAGGAACTTGGCGCTGATTGTGTGTAGACTTACTCCCAGCAAAAACCACCTATCCAATTGTCATTTCATAGTAAAAGTTAAAGAAAAATACGATATTCCTAGAGTGTGTAGCGGCGAAGGTCCCAACAAAAGTACGACATTGCCAGATAATAATGGTGGGGCCCCAGGGCGTTGTTGGCGGTATTCCTTTGATCTCAATTAGTGGGTCTTTTCCATCCAATCTGCGGTCTATTGCCGTGGAGTAACACTGGGAGCCGGCCAGGTGCTCTTGGCTTCGCTCCACCCTCCGCACCATTCAGGAAAAACCTGTGTGAGGGACGGGAAACCGCTCTTCCACAGCGAATAAAGAAAAAGGATTTTAAACAAAAACAACACCGTCAGAGGGGGTAGTACATTTCTGTGTGTAGGAACACATTTCATCCGGTACAGAACTTGTGCTACAGTCCGTTTGCTTCGCATACGACCGACCTGAGTTCGATAATGTTTCCAACAGTTGACCATCAATCTAAACCAACTACATTTTTTCCTTGGCACTACAGCCTCAGAGGGCCTAGGCCTACCTCCATGAACTCCGTTCACTTCGGTTTTTCTAGATCTTACACACACGGTAGGACTCCTTGGGCGAGTGATCAGCTCGTCGTAAGGCCTCTACCTGTAGACAAACACAGAAAAACGCACACAAACATCCATGCACTGAGTGGGATTCGAACCCACGATCCCGGCTTCCGAACGAGCGAAGACAGTGCATGCCTTAGACCGCTCGGCTACCGTGACCGGCAAACCAACTACATACAACTTACTTACTTACTCACTCACGGAGCTGAGCCCTTCTTGAGGAGCCGCCAATTGCAGCTACTCAAGAAGTTCCCAGCATTTTATGAAACCCGAAGGTTCATTACCGTATTCACAAGAGCCCTCCACTGGTCCCTATCCTGATCCAGATCACTCCAATCAATACCATCCAATCGTTTCTCTCTAAGATCAACTACATACAACAACGAACATATTTAGTGTAGCTCTAATTGTCTATACTTATATCCGGAGATGCTGGGTTCGAATCTCGGTCGAGATATCGGCTACGCTGACTGATAATTTTCGTGGT